TTATTATAGTATTACTAGCTAATACTATCTAATATATAAGATATAATTAAAGTACTATAGTATAAATAATTATGAATGGGTTACATTAAAGTATATTAAAAGATGTCAAAGAATATTGAAAAATATCAAAGTATATAAAAGAATATTGAAAGACGTAAAAAGATATGAAAAGATGTGAAAAGATATTAAAAGATGTGAAAAAATGTGAAAGAATATAAAAGAATATTGAAGGATATCAAAGAACAAGGAAAAATATTTGAGATCATCATTCAAGTATAACTGTTCTACCAAAATTAAAAATAATCTTCTACTAAACTATTTTACTATATACATGAATATTATATTACAAAATAATAAAAATATAAATTTCAAATATTAAATAAGATATAATATTTAAAAATAAAAATATGATAATAAATATAGTAATAAATAATATAATAATAGAGATATTTATAGAATAAATGAAAAATATAGAAATATATGATTTTGCATAACTAAGAAAAGATTAAGAAATTAAGAAATTTTATATTACTATGATAATAATATTTGTTATTTTAGTTTTAGATATCTTATTCTTAGTTTAGCTTTTATAATTATAATTTTATTTTTATAAATTTTCATTTTATTTTATTTTTGTCTTGTATTAATACAATACTTGTAAGTATTTATACTAAAAAATCTTTAGAATAATTATTATTCTCTTAACCTTTATAAATAATTTAGTCTTTACTCTCAAAACTTATTATAAACTATATTCATGATAAAATCTACCTTCTAAAGTATAATTTATAATATTATATTATAAATTATGAAAATATTTTTCAATTCTCCATTATAAGAATAAAGCAAAAAAAAAGATACTTATAATACTTAAAGATTTATCAAAATCAGATTATCCTAGAATTTTTACTAAACATAATAAACAAAATATTATATATTTAATTTTGAATGATAATTTTTTTACTGCAATATCTATTCAAAAAAATTAAAACTGATAATAAAATTGATATTAGCATAAGTATAATAAAGCAAGTTTTATATTATAATAGTCTATCTTCATGAATTAAGCAAAAAAAATCATATCTTAAAAAAATATATCAAATTCAATATTTAAAATTTGTGAAAAAATATCATTATTAAACTATTTATAATTAGCAAAGTTATCTAATCAGATGAATTAAAATTATAATTTTTAATTCAGATATTACTGGAAATATAATAATAAATTTTTGAAAGAATATCAAGTAAAATCTATAGTAAAATTTAGAAATAAAAATATAATGATTTGGAATTGCTTCAGATTTTTCAGTATTGATAATATTATATATATTTATAATTATATAGATAAGAATTATATTATAAAATCTTAAATAATAATCTTTTAAAAATAATTAAATAATATAAAATTAATAAAAATAATATTATCTTTTAATAAGATAATAATTCAAAATATATAACAAAATTTATATATGAATAATTTAATAATAATAATAATATTTATTTGCTTGATTGATCTGCTCAATTATTTGATCTTAATCTAATTAAGCATCTTTGAAATAAAATAGATTGTTATTTTAGAATATAATTATCAATTCTGAAATATGATATAAAAAAATTTATGTTAAAATTAATAACATGTTTTTAATAAAGCTAATAAAAAGTATTAAAAAATATATTTAATATATAATTAATATAAAAAGTAATTATATTAAATAATAATTAAAATTAAAAGTTAAATTTTCATAAATTTATTTAGTTTATTAAGTAATTTTAATTTTATTTATTAAAATAAATAGATTACTTGATTTTAATATAAAATATATTTTATTTTTTTAAATATATAATATGAAAAATAAATATAATATAATATTTTATCTATATATAGATATTAAAATGAGTCTATTTATATATATTAATTAATTTTATATATAAATATTATTAAATTATAAAATTTATTATCCAGATAATATAATATTTTTAAGTATTATTATAGTAAAAAGAATAAAAATCTTTATCTAGTAAGAAAAAGACTTTGAGAAATTTAAATATATTTTGAATTAAAAATTATTTATATTTAGAGCTTATACTGATTATTTTTAATTTCTATTTTATTATATCAGTTTTATAATTATTCAAGAAATATAAATAATTATTATTTATATATTAATATAGCAAATTATAAAAAATTAAAGAAAATTATATTTAGATATTTAATAATAAATTTATAATAATATATTTTATTATGTATTAATTTAATTTTTTTAATAAAATTTTCAAAATATAGTTTATATTCTTAGTAATTATATTTTTTTAACTATTCTTTTTAAATTTTCTAATTAATAATTAATTATAATTAAGAAATATTTTTATAATTATATTTCTTTATAATTATTTAATTTTATCTTTACAAGTATAATAATTATAAAGTAATTAATTATATATAAATATTTATAATTAATATTATTAATAATTAATAATATATAATATTAAATTTATTATTTTGAAAAATAGTTTATATTTTAAAAGTATAAATAATTAAATATTTAGAATATCTTATTTATATTTTGATTTTTTTATATATTATATATATTAATAATATTTAAAAAATAAATTATCTTTTTTAATTATATTCAAGATTATAAAAATTTAAAACTTTAAATAAACTATTACTTTTTGCTTAAAAATATAATATTAATTATTTATTTGAAATATATATTAATATTCTTAAATTAATAATTATAAATTTCAAAAATAAATAATATTAATTTTGAAATTAATTTTAAGAATATTATTTTAATTTTTTTAAATATTTATTTTTTATTAATTCAAATATTAAATTTATTAATTAATTTAGATATTTTATATATTAATTATAAATTTAATAAAAAAATAAAAAATTAGTATTATAAATATAATAAAGATAATTATAATTTTAATAAAAGTAATAGTAGTTAAATTTATCTAAAATAAATTTTTTATATAATAATTTTATTTATAATTCTATTTTATAATATATATAATTTAAGACTTATATTTATAAATATAATATTTTATTTTTTTTATTAATATATATAATTAAAGCTTTATATTTTATAAATATAATATTTAATCTAATTTTATTTATTTTTTATTAATATTTATAGTAATAATTAAAAGTAATAACTCAAAGACTAAATTTATATAGTAAAAATTGAAATTTTCTCTTATACTAAATTTATAATTTTATTAAGAAATAATTTTATTTTATATTAAAATAAAGTTTATTAATTATAATTTAATATATATTTTTTTCAAATTTTTTAGATTTTTTCTGAGAGAGTTATTCTAATTGTAAAGTTAAAAAATTAATATTTTAATAATGAATTTATTATGAAAATTTATTATAATTCATATATCATTATTAAAAAATTAATATTTTAATAATGAATTTATTATGAAAATTTATTATAATTCATATATCATTATTTTAAAAGAATATTGAATTTATATTTTTATTTTATTATTAATTTTTTTTATTAAAATAAAAATTAGTTAGATTTATATATATATATTAAATTTTAATATAAATATAAAATTTTATAAACACAAAGTTCTTTTTTGCATCTATAAAATATAAAAATTTTCTATATTATCTTATCAATATATCATTTATATATATATATATTAAATATTTATACAAGACAGAATTAATATTTATTTTGACTTGAAATTTAAAAAAAATTATATGCTGCATTGCTAAGTCAAGTTATTAATTTTTAAATTACACATTAGAGAAATTGGTGTGTATATTGAAATATTAGATATGATATAAGAGATCCAATAATTTATTATATAATTTCTCAATGCGAAAATTTAGAACATTTGCATTAAATTTAGAATCATGCAGCCAACAATGTTTAATCAAAATTGATTATGTGATCATCGTAATCAGAACCAGTTTTTGCCACCACTGGTCTACAATAATACGTAAGCATTTTAATTTATTTTATTCTTGATAAACAACCTCGTGACCTATTCTTGATAAACAACCTCGTGACCTTTTGATATCGATACAGTATATTCCAATAGAAATTTTTACAATAAATAACGATAAACTAATAATTTAAGAAACCACTAAATCCTTCAATGTTTAGATTTCTCAATGTCACTCATAATCGGAAACCGCATAGTAATGAGCGAAAAAGCCGTGCAGAATAAGATAATCGTGATAAGTCTCCATTTTTCCGTTCTAACTAGATAAATGCGTTTCTGGGGCATGATACTCTGACAATGTGTTTCCAGATAGATGTAGTATGCGTAAAGTGGGAAACTGATCGAGTATGTGGTATGGAAGAATAGTAGACTGGAAATATGCCAAAAAAAAAAAAATAGTTAAGTATAAAAAATTTTGGATATAATAATTGTCTTCTTCACTAGAGATATTCAATATAGTCAAATAGCGGCGGTTACACTTACGCTTTAAACGAGTCCGAAAATATAGTACTTATGGTATTACCAAGAATATGAAAGATACCCGCAGCTAACAATATGTATAATTGCTTTGGGTGATCAACAGTCGTGGGGTAAAGTTTAGCACGAGAAGTTAATCGCTCGCGGTCTTCTTCGTCTTCTAAATCAGCAATTGGCGTGTGACTCTCAGCATCTTCTTTGAATCGTGAACGTGTCTCAAGAATGATTTGCGTGAATACGATAATAATCATAAAATCAAGAACGAGACCTATGAATAATAGATGTTCTATCAATATTCATTCCAACAAAATTTCAAAATAAAATAAAAATGTAACTAGTAATTATCTAATTACCTTGCGCTTTAAAGAAAACAGCATCATAAGGCCACGGAACATACATACAAGTTGCCACAACAGTAATCATATAAATACCTATTGCCGGAAAGTAAAAATTCGAAGCTACTCTCCCGCCCGTGAACAACAGCCACAAGAACATGAGTTCCGCCGCATTATGAATAACACCGACAGGTACCCAGAGCTTTGAAAGATCAACAATTATACCAGCGAGCGAGGCCCAACTTGTGACTAGTATGTATATGGCGATTATCGTGTTGAATAGTGTCGCTGGTGCGGTTTCGCTGTCATAGTGAAAGAATGATACTGTGCTTTTTGGCTGCTTATAGAAAAGTGTCCAGTATAAGGCCGATAGGCCTAATATAAAGTTAATTATTAATGCGTAGAGTGATGGCGCTATGTTAGTTTGAAAATCGAATCCTAAAAATGCAAAAATAAAATACGTTAATATAAGAAATTAACAGTAATATCAGTTGATTTTGTTATACGTAATAATAACCTTTTATATGTTCCCGCCATGTCGGAAAACCGGTAATAGGTGAAATTTCTTGCACAGGTGGAGGAGGGAATGCACTTGGTTTTGGATAAGACAAGAGCACTGCACCCAAAGTAAGCGCGGAAGCAACGACAGCAAGGAACCGAAAACAGCTCATCTTTATATTTATTTATTCGAGTAATAATAATAATACTACTACTAAATAATATACGAGGTCATTTAAAGTCTCCAAGTATTAAACTCGAATATTATTTTAGCGGGATGTTTTTGAGGCTGTATTTATATGTGAGCGACCGATCCAAACTTTTCTATAAACGTGTAACCACCACTATTTATTCTCTTTGTCAATAATATTCATGTACATAACTTTAAAGGTTAAGATGCATATTTATTTTTGTTTGGGATGGGCGTATTAAGTGAAATGCTACCAGTGCATTATTATTGGTTACATATACTTATCTAAAGTAACACAAATGAAGAGCATCATTGCTAGTTTTATCGAGTCAATACAAGGAAGAATAAAAACAAGTTTGAACAAGTTTTTTTTAGAACAAATACATGTACTGAATGAAATGCTAACGCTAACGCTAACCTGACAAAAGTGTCGTGTCGTGACACTGATTAAAAATGAAATTAGATTATCCGGAAATGAGTATCACTTGACTGACGGTTTTTGAACTCCAAAATAGGGGGTGGTGCTTATTTCTAAATTTCTATACATTATCTCTATAACGACATGCCATTATATAAAGGTCAATTTTCCTATAATAATATATGAATAATTCTAGACAATTTGGTCACCATAAAGAGAATTCCGTTATAAAAAAGTGTCGTTATAGAGAGGTTGACTTGTATCTACCGGGAATAAGCAATAAGCAATCAATGTTCCTGAGCATCTGCATAAATTTTAAATGTAATTTTGCAGTTTATAAAGTAAAAAGATGAAATCGAATATTCATGTTTGTCGTAAATGCCGTTCTTGTTTAAAGGTTCTGAATGTTTCAAATATCACTAATGCAACAAAATTTAACTGTCATGGAGAACGTAAAATTGTGTTGAAATCATTACACAAACCAAAGCAAATTACTCCAAACGAAGGAAGATTTGCTCACTCTCAACCCAAACCCACAATTACCTCTCCCCAATTACCGTTATTGCTATCATTGGGTATTAATCTTAGATAGTGCTTATTTATAGTGGTGCTTATTCATATTTTTGGTTTAAACTGGGGTTCTTATTTCGGGAGAATACGGTAATTAAAATTTATTTTTGAATATCAAGGTTTTATGTGTTCCAAACGAAAGTAAAATTTACTATCACAATTGTTTTTTATTATTTTATCAACTCATTGTAATAAAACAAAGTGTTTTAAGAAATACAACATTCTTGCCACCAAAAAAATGGTAATACGTATTAAACTATTTTTGAATTTTATCAATATTAACATTAATAATAGCATCTCCTACATATTGTCACACTCAATTCAGAAGTTAAAAGATCTCATGTCGCTAAAGGTCATTCTCACGGAGATTGTACAACCATACAAAATTATATTTTGAAAATCCCATCCGGGCGTTTTTATAATAAATAACATATAAAGATTGATCCGGCCGGGTTATGAGAACCAGAATATTAATTTTGCATGGCCTAAAATATAAAATAATAATATTAAACTCAAATAATAAAACAAAACAAAATAAATAAATACATCAAAATCCAAATAATAGAATAATCCAAATAATCGACGAATCATAGAATCAAATGTGATTCATCAACTTTGTATGGAAAGCCTTCGATTTTTGTAAGCATAAAATAAAGTTATCGATTTTGTTAAGACACAAAAAATAATAGTTAAAATTCTTTTTATTATTTTTCTTCAAACCACACACATCGACTTGTCTCTGGCTTTCGAGAGCTGTTCTTTATATACGATTTAGTTAACTAAATATCTATTTTACAGATCGTAAGTTATTACAAGAATTTACGGGACCTAACGTAAAAAAGAATTTTACAAAGGGCATGACTATGCTTCGAAACAAAGAATAATGGTAATTATTAGAAAATTATTACGTACAACACAAAATGTAAACTTTGTAATATGTCCATGGATCTAGGAAATAACGTACGATACAAATGTTTATCAGTCTCTGCTGGCAACCACATTCTTGAAATGCAAAGTAAGAATGTTTGTAAGGAATCCGTGTTGTTGGGAAAGACAGTGTTGATGTTGATAATGTCATGCGCAATTCAAAAGTTAGTTAGACTAAAGAATTACGGGGCGAGAGCTAGTCTGAATGATTTACACAGAGTGGGGTATCTTTAAGGTTCTAAAGGTCTCCTGCGCCAAACTACACGGAGATTGTGCAGTCAAAGGGGCATTCGGGACAAAACTAAAAAGGTTCACGAAATCCAAAAGAATACGTAAAGTTTCTGCTCACTACCAGCACAAAATAAAAGAGTTGGACTTATTAACACGGCCAACAAACTAATCAAAAGAATAAATACCAATTTCTTAAGGCAGAAGAAGTAAAACCATCAATCTTGTTAAGCACAGAAGAATAAAATCTATCAATTTCGCTATGGCACGAAAGAAATGAGAGCCAAAGCGCAGTTAGTTTCAAAGTAAATTTAATATTTAATTTTATGCAAATCGCCCACTCAAACCTTTTGGATGACTATACTTTAAATACAATTTTTAGAACTACATCAATTTAATACGCAGTTTCACGGGATCCGAAGTAAAGACTATGCATTATTTAGGAATTCTCACGGAAAGGCCTGGCTATTCTTCTAATTATGTGTGAATCTTATGATGAATTCAAAGAAATAACGTATGATATGAATGTTTGATAATTACATTCTCTGAAATCGTAAAATAATAATTTTGTGCTATCGTTTATTGGGAAGGTAGTGCCGATGTTGATTCCACAAGGTAAGAATTTTGTACGAGCGATATTTATGCTAATGCAACGAAAGGGAATTTTTATAGGAATTTTTAGCGACATTAATGTTTGATGTTACACGTACATATATTTGGCGTACATTTCATGCCAATTTAACGTTAGGCGTTTTTGTTCAACAACGATACCAAAAAAAATGTCCTTTTCATCTTCAAATACATGTAATGGCAATATCAGAAGATCAAATAAACTTTTTTGATTATAAAGAGTCATTACTAGAAATTCAATTGGATGTGGTGCGTCTGGTAAAGTATATAAAGCAGAATGGAAAAAAGACGGAAGAAGGGTCACCTTGAAATGTCTTTATATAAAAATGACAAAGCAAAGAAAATTCTTATAAACAGTTTATTAAAGAAGTACTTAGTTTAACATTCCTGTTTCTTTGAATATAGCTATTAATTTAACTTTTCTTCTCTTATCATTATAGCTGAAATTCTTGATTAACCACAACTCAAATATTATTCGATTTTATGGAATCACTAAAAGTAAAAAATAATAGTTCTTTTTCTACATAAGAATTGAGCACAACTTTAATTTAATTTACTACAATAAACTTATCTAGTTCGGGAAAATATATATATGCTAGTCTTGAAATATGCTGATGATGGAATTCTTCAAGATTATTTCAAAATAAATTTTGTGAATTTGAATGGCTATGATAAGCTCTGTCTCCAAGAAAGAATAAAATATATGATGAAGGTATTATTCACCGAGATTTGATAAATATCTATTCAAAAATATTCAATTTGGGTCGAATACGTTATTTATCGTTCATTTTGATTAATAATATACTCGTACATAAAGGAAAGATTAAAATTTTGGATTTAGGATATTCGAAACTATATAACGATGAAACTCATCCAGGGAATTACTATGGCATTACAAGCTATGTTGACCCAGCTTTTCTAAAAGATATGCATAATTTTCGACGTGGCGAAAAATCTGATATTTTTGCGTTGGAGTTCTGTTATGGATTATTTCTAGTGGACGCCCTCCAAGCAATACATATGGATATATTCTTAAAGTTATTCCTGAGAAAGAAATGACAATATTTGGAACACCTCCTAAATATGTCAAGCTCTATCCAGGATGCTGGGATAATTCACCAAAAAATCGCCCAGCTATAGATATAGCAATTAAAATATTAAAAGAAATAATTTGGTCACCATCAGAAACTTCATCAATAGCCGCCAATGTTGAAACATCGTCATCAATATATAAAGAACAATTATCAGAAAGTTCAGATTCATCATGTGAAGGAGACAACAAGTATGAGGAATCTGAAAATTAGGCACTTATCATGAAAAACTTTTAGTATTTGAAATTATTACTGATGATTTAATAAGTTTGCTGAATAAACAACTTGACTATGGGAGAGATCCCTCAACGATTGGCAGATTGTTGCAATTACACTATCAAACAGAATTTTAAGATTCCTTCGATACTAATGCTTCTTTTACATTTTACACAAAACTCAATATCAGACACTTTTAGGATTTTTTTATTATATTGGTTGTATATTCAATAAAAATTTAGAATGTTCTGCAAAAATTTTCGAAGGATCAACAATGAACCAGCACGTTATGGCACAATATTTTCATTGGTGAGTGTTATGAAAATGGAACAAGAATTCAAAAAGACAAGAAAAAAACATTTGAGTGATATTTGAAAATCAGCAGAAGGTGGAAATACTAGAGGCTAATATAACCTCGGTAAATATTACGAGGAAGGCATAGAAACTCAAAAAGATGAGAAAAAACATTTGAGTAGTATTTGAAAATCGGCAGAAGGTGGAAATTCTGATAGACAAAGACGAGAAAAAAGCATTGAATAGTGTTTGAAAGGTGGAATCCTAGAGACGAAATAATCTTTAATTATTACTATCATAGGAACTCGAAAAGACAAGAAAAAAGCATTTGAAATCTTGATGGACAAATACTGTATCTCGATTATAAGTATGATGAAGACACAAGAACTCTAAAAGACGAGAAAAAACCTTTTGATTTGAATGATATGACTGAAGGCGAAAATTCTGTCATTAAAATGGAACAAGCGTTTGATTTGTATTTGCTATCAATGTACGAGTTGCTAAGGACAATTTAATTTTAAAATTCGTCATTATGATATAATAAGTCCTCTCTCTTCCACTGCCCATATCAACGGAAAACAGTAAGTAAAAATATTTCCTCAATATCAATAAATACATTCATCAAAAAGCCGAAAGGTCATTTTCTAGTCGTTTAAACTTCTTTTTAAATACGAATGAGAATTTTTACATTATGCATTATCTTCTGTCACGTATTTAGAGCTATACATGTATAATTATTTTTTATCAGAATTTGGTTTTCTCGACTAGAGTTGGGCGCTTAAAACTATTGCAAATAATTTTAGCTATATTTTTGGTTTATAGTTTTAGGATTCAGAACTACAACCTAAATAATCGAGGCGACCATCTCTAATCTTAACACATAATTTTTATCAGTCGGTCATTGGTGAATAAAGCTTGTGTCTACAATAATTCTCTAGCTTTAGAAAATGAATGACAAGCAAAAATTTATTAAAACAATAATATTTATGCCAAAGTTCGTGGGATCGTTTGAGTCTACTCTTTCTTGATTTGACCAGAAAGAATATTTCAAAAATCAGGATCTCTCATAAGTTCAGAGAATTGTAAGAGGAAAACAAAGAGACAAAGGAATTCAATAAGACTATTCTGAGCAAAGTTAAAAAACTTTTAAATTTTATACTTATAATATCGCATAGTCTTATGCATATCTTTTGAACATCCCATACCAAGAGAAAAGTGATACGCCAACGTAGTGTACGTATCGAAATCATTTCCATTTTTCTCAGCGACTTTAAGAAAACATCGCGTTGTGTACGTATCGAAATAATTTCCATTTTTCTCAGCGACTTTAAGAAAACATCGTGTTGCCTTATTCCAATTTATTCGTGTTCCGATTCCCATAAGATAACAGTCACCTAACCTATAGAGTCCTTCTATGTCTCCTGCTTCAGCTGCCTTCTTAAAATAAGTGAATTTTTCCGTCGAGTCCCGCGTGAAGTGTGCGTATTGTATTTGTCCACGTGGCTCTCCATTTTCGGCAGCTAGTTTGAACCATTCTTTTGCTGATTCAGCCTTACTCGAGTTGAGATAATGTAGACCTAACTCTGTTTGCGCAGGCGGATAGGAATCATAGGCGGCGATTCGTATCCAGTTGAGTGACTTTTCTTGGTTTTCTTGTGATTTGGTATCAGCTTTGAGATATTGGGCGAGGATCAATGCACTTTCGTAGTATGCCGCCTGTGCAGATTCTTGATAAAGTTGAAGTGCTTTTTGAAGATCTCTTGCGACACCCAGTCCATTAGCATAACAGTTTGCAAGATTTTTTTGCCCTGGCGCATATCTCAACTCAGCCGACTTTTGAAAATAAGAAAATGCCAATTCATGGTTTTGACGCACACCAAATCCTTTACTATAGCAATAACCCACCTGATTATATACGACCGGATCGTCTTTAGTAGATTCCGCCGCCGCCAATTGATACCAATAAAAAGAATCTTTCATAGACGACTCAGTCCCAATTCCCCATTCCCACAAAAATCCAATCAAGAAATAATATTCTGGCTTATTATTTTTATGCGGTGGTGGTGGTGATTGCTCATCCTCAGGCTCACAGCAAAACCATTTGAAAATCTCGTATGGATCGTGATTGTTGTCTTTGATGAACTGTTTTATTTTTTTGGCGATATCTTT